CAAGCAAATTCCTATTGACTACTATAGCTATTAAGTCAGTCCTCTTGTGATTAACATTTGACTGATGCAGGTTCTGACACATGGGCTGCAAGGTATCTTTACTTATTATGTAGGTGCCTCTCCCTCTTCCTTCCCATTTCTGTTGTTGGGTACTTTGCATTATGCCCAGTCTGGGCTGCAAAACGTCAGGCAGCCACTAGATGGCACAATGCATCTCTCGTTGTCCTCTAGAGCTATTTCTCAGCCTGGACAACTTTAAGATGGGTGGACTTCAACTCCCAGAATTTTGGTACCCAACGTGCTGGCTGGGGAATTCTGGGAGTTGAAGTCTACACATCCTAAAGTTGTCCAGGTTGAGAAACACTGCTCTAGAGCCCAGATTTGGTAACCCCACGTGGATCACGCAAGGCAGAAGGGAGGAAAAGGTATGTTATCTAGAGTTTTGTGCCTCTCCCCCCACCAATAAATTGAGCCTCCCTCAAAGACAGGGATGCTGCTGGAAGTTTTTCTGGAAAGGAGAGAATAAATCTTTGCTTGGAAAAGGCAAACGTTGCAAAATAGCTGAAGCCCTCCAGAAGGTGCTTCCTGAAAGAGCAAAAGTGTCCACGGGGAGTGGGTCGAAAAGGTCAGTATGGTGGCCACAATGATGTGATCAAAGCCCCATCAATTATTTATTTATTTGTTTATTTATTAGATTTATATAGCTGCCAATCTTGGAAATGTGACTCTTGGCAGTGTGCAATAAAACAACCAGTTAAAACAATTAAAATATCAATTAAAAACAATGAAACACAAATATAATAAATAAATAATGTAATATAATATAAAACATATCAATGCATGTTAAAAAGGGTTGGGCCTTTGATCATATGGTTGTGGCCACCATATTGACTTTTTTGACCCTCTCTCTGCAGACACCCCTATTAAAAAGGAAGATTCCATCAAAACAAACTTCAAGGACATGTTTGTATAACCTCTTGGCCAAAGTACAAGAGTGACTTGCCTGAAACTTCCTAGCCTAGCTTCTCCTGGTGGTCTCCCATCTCAGTCCTAACCAGCCCGGACACCACTTAGTTAAACTTCTGGGTCTGCCTTCGAGACGTTGACTCCTGGCGACTGCCTGGGTCTGTTCTGCAGTTCTGGGCAGGGGCCAAAGTCTCTTAAGGGGCTAAAATCTCATAAGAATAAACAACGTTTGTGTGGTTTGCACGTCTGGACGCGAGTTTGCGTATTCTCCCACATATGCATTTTGATTTATGTATTTATTTATTAAGCAAACTTACATCGCTGCCCATCTACCCAAAGGAACTCTGGCTGTGAACAAAATGAAAACGCAATAAAGTAAAACGACCACTGAAAACGATAAACCCCACATCTTTGTTTTGCTTTTGTGTTGGTTTTTTTGTTATATTTTAAAATGATGTTATATTTTAAAACGGTTTTGTTGCGCACCGTTCCTTGAATCGTTTTTTGAAATACAAAGAGAGACAGAAGGAGAAAATGGGGACAGAGACCATGCTAGCCACCATCAGGACAAATCAATCTTTCTCAACCTTGGCAACTTTACGACGTGTGGACTTCAACTCCCAGAATTCCCCAGCCAGCATGCTGGGTTACGTGACAGCTTCCAAAGTCATTTTAGTACCACGAGGGGGCGCTATCTGCGCCCTGGTGGTGCGAAAGCAGAACTGAGCAGGCACTGAAAATTGGAAACCGCCCCCGGGAGCTCTTAGCCTTGCCTCTCTAGGGCGCCGGACTCACTCGTTTTAACCCTTCGGTTACGCCCCCTCGGGAGAGCCAGGACTGCGAGACGCAGGTGAGCGCGCATCCCTCGAGAGCCCGGACGCCCCGGCTCCTTCTCCAGATGTGCATTTTGCACCTGGCGGGATGGAAGGTCCCATATTTGCAGCCCCCCGGCCTCCCTGCATGAAGCAGCGTTTCTAGCAGCCAGTTTGGGGGTGAGGGGCGTCCCTGGGGGGAGAGATGCCGAGGGAGAGGTTTGCCCGGAGAGCCCCGGCTGGCACAAAGAGGACACCAGGAGCCTCTTGGCCAGCCTGGGGAGGCTCTGCTGGGCCCCCCACCTCTGAAGTTGGAAGGGACCGTAGAGGTCATCTAGTCCAGCCCCTGCGCCATGCTGCATCCGGTGGACCACCTCTGCTGTCAGTGGAGGAGGACTCACCACAGCACGTGCCGGCTGTTCCACGGGCTGACAGCCCCTGATCCCCAGCCTGGACCTCCTTCCTTACTTCTGGTCCTGTCCTCTGGGGAGACAGGAGAAAGACGCACCCCTTGTCCTGTGCGACGTTCCTTGAAAGTTTTGAAGAGCGCGGACGCATCTCCTCTCAGTCGTCTTTTCTGAAGGTTCGACGCAGCCCGATCACGGTCGGGCTGGGTTTCTAGACCCTTCGCCATCTTAGTCGCCATCCTTGGAACTCACTCCAGCTAGTCTCTCGCCATTTTTAACCACAATGCCCAGAATGGGCTCCAAATGGGGACTGATCAGGGCGGAATAAATTGGAACCATTGGAACCTGTGATCTGGACTTCTGTTCCTGCTAATGCCCTCCAAGATTGCATTCGCCTTTTTAGCAGCTACTTTGCCTACTTTATTGATTTAGCCTAGTGTTTCTCAACCTTGACAACTTTAAGATGGGTGGACTTCAACGCCCAGAATTCCCCAGCCAGCC